CTTCCACAAAAGCAAAATCACCAGCTTGATCCACAAAAACACACTGAAACATAATAGAGACCCAGAAGATGAACAGACCTATGGAACAGCTGTCCTGCCCTACATAAGAGGTACTACAGACAAAATTAGTAAGGTACTACACAGACATCACATCAGGACTGCCTTCAAAACAGACAGAAAAATAGCAGCCATCCTTAGCAACCCCAAAGATAAAATTGACCTGGAAAACCAAGGCATATACGAAGTCCCCTGTGCATCATGCCCTGCCACATACATTGGACAGACCAATAGAAGAATAAGTACCCGCCTGGATGAACACAAAAATGCAGTCAAAAAGCTGGAACACACTTCCTCACTAGTCCAACACATGGAAGCTACAGGTCATAGCATCAACTTCAATGGCACCAAAACCCTGGCCACTATGGAAAACCCTAGCCACAGAGTCATCAGAGAAGCCATAGAGATTGAAAAAAGACCAGAAAGCATGAACAGAAGAGATGATTCCACCAGGCTGTCAATCATTTGGAAGCCTGCACTCACAAACAAAAAAATCTCCACACCACAAGCCAGGCAAACACCTGGGCACAAACAGATCCCCCCTGATACCTCCAGCTCAAACACACCCCAACCAGGCACCCAGATGAAACCCAGCTTCCTAACTAATGATAGCCGTCCATTTACCCGAAGCCAAGCTGCACTAAAGACCTCCATTAAAGTAACACAATGCTGCCAGCCAATCAAGATACAAAAAGAGCCAAAAAACAGACAGAAGATATTAGAGACACCAATCAAGCAGAACACAGCAAACTCCGAGACCAATAAACACAGACCAAGACTCCCAACCAATCAGGATGAAGAAAAAACCATTCTGGCACAGCAATAGGCTGCCCCAAATTTAAATCTGAAACCACTGTAAAAGTCTGACTCACAGACGGACACAATACAGAAGCCTGATGATGGCAGATGAGATTCTGCTGAAACGTTGCTACAACTTTAAAAGCACAACTATAATGACGTGGGAAAATACCCGAACAAAGCTGAAGGCCATACATGTAAGTACCCGCGAAAACTTAAGAAAATATATATATATATATATATATATATATATACACTTAAGAAAACATATATATATCAGCATTTCCATTTTCATAAGGCTGCAATTATTACATTATCTTAATAAGTATAAAATATTAAATAAAATAATAAAACAAAATGTGGGTTATGTAAAACTACTTTTATATTAGAACTATGCTTTGATAAATTACAGAATAAGACAATCGTTTTTTTAAAATGTATGGAGTGTTTAATTATGAAAGGCCTTAGTTGGTAAAGATTTGAGAATATGTAGCAAAAGATTCAGTCCCAATTTAATGCAAATTAGGAAATACATGTTCTTAGAAAAGACTACAAATGGCCGTGATCTGAGTGGTTCTTGGTGTTCTCTGAGCATGATTGTTTTCTTGCAAACATTTCGCTAGCCAAACTAGTGCTAATATGGAGTAGGGTTGGCTCTCTATTTATATTCTAGTGACTTGTCCTATCAGTATTGGGGGGAGTGGTCTAGAAGGATTAGGGGAGACATGATAGCAGTGTCCTAATATCTCAGGGGCTGCCACAAAGAAGAGGGAGTCAAGCTATTCTCCAAAGCACCTGAGGGCAAGACAAGAAGCAATGGGTGGAAACTAATCAAGGAGAGATGCAACTTAGAACTAAGGAGAAATTTCCTGACAGTTAGAACAATTAATCAGTGGAACAACTTGCCTCCAGAAGTTGTGAATGCGCCAACACTGGAAGTTTTTAAAAATATGTTGCATAACCATTTGTCTGAAGTGGTGTAGGGTTTCCTGCCTAGGCAGGGGGTTGGACTAGAAGACTTCCAAGGTCCCTTCAACTCTGTTATTCTATTCTATAGTTCCTTAATTGGGCTGTTTACTGTTAACCTGTCTGGCAGTTCCTTGATTGGGACATCATTTACTTCTTGATTGTTGCTCAAGTAAGCAATACCCCAATCAAGGAACTGCTAAAGAAACTAATAGTAAACAGCCAAATAAATGTATCCAGAAAACAACCAATCTCAAAGAGAACCAATTTCAACCCTGAGCTACAAACATTCTCTTTTATCTTGACCATGATCTGATTTATAGCTCTCCATTTCAATATTCAGACAAGAGCAGATCCTACCAGCCATGTCCATTCACTGTGCATGCTTAAAGACGAGTGAAAAGTCTATGTGGTCTATGAAGAAACTATACAGGAAGTGACCACAGTTGAGACTGGAAACTTGGTTGTCAAATGAAGCAGTTGCTAAGTGAAACTGCAACTGTGAGGATAACCTTACTTCAGCTGTCTTTTGCTTTACAGTCCTGCAAAGGTTGTAAAGTGAGGATTGGTAATAAAGTTACTTTTTCATCATCATCATCATCATCATCATCATCATAACTGTGAATAGTCACTAAATGAGGCAGACACTAACTCGGGACTAAGTTACTCATATACATTCTTCAGTATTAGAAATATAATTGAAAAGCAAGGTGACTGCTGGCTGGACAGATGTAATTTTGTTAGTCCTGGGCAGGCAGAAATTGCTACCAAAAGGAGGCATTAAAGCTGTGACTGTTTTAGGTGGTTGTATGATTGGAAAGGAATCCTAGATGCAGGAGACAACAGCAGGAAGTCAGATGTCTAAGCTGACTGTCTGATAGCTAATTTGGATCAACTTCTACTCCACCAAATCCTTTAATCCCCCAAAATTGTCAGAAACAGAACCAAATTTATTGTGCAAATTGATTGCAATTTTGAAACCATGTACTAACGTCAGGTGGCTTGTGTTCATCCTGAGTCATTGACAGAAGCTGCAAAAGCAAAGCAAGAATAATTTGTTAGTTCAGAAGGTGATAGGATGCAATAGTAGTAATAACAATAAAATAAAACTTAAGAATGATAGATTTTAGTTTCAAAATGATTGCATGCTGAAAATCTATATCAAACTATATAAGGTATAGTGTAATTTTATTCCAAATACTGTACAACAGCAACATACAGATAATTCTTGATTTATGACAATTGGGACCAGAATTTTTGGTTGCTAAGCAATGCTGTCATTAAGTGAATCATCACATTATCAGGGACTCACTTTTATGGCCATTTTTACTACAGTCATTAAGTGAATCACCCTGTTCATTAAGCAAATTACATCACTATAATTTGTGGAAGTGTATCTGGCTTCAATTGGCTTTCTTTGTCGGAAGCTGGTTGGAAACGTTGCAAATTGTGATCGTGTGGCTGCAAAACCCACAACCATTGTAAATATGGGCTGGTTGCCAAGCGTTCAAATTGCAACCACTTAACTCTGGGAATGTTGAGGATAGGTCATAAATCATTTTGTCTCCAGCTGTTGTAACTTTGAATGGTTATAAACTAAGAACTATATGTAACTACTCAATGATAGTTAAATGCATGGTAAAAGTTACTGCTGATAATCACAAAATAAATTAATTTTGTAAAACTTTGTAACTGGTCTCTGAGAGATCTACCAGGATAGTTTAGCAATGAACACGTGCACACTCAGTTCTTGCTAAAAGATATAAGGAGTACAAATTAGATTAACTGATTCCTTTAGACTTTACTTTTCTCTCATCAGTTGTGTAGTGACTTGTATACCACAAGCTGCGTCTTCTGTCTGCAGTTATTTGAATTGGGGTGCACTCTATTTCATCTTCCTTATTTATATCTGATTTTTCATCGTCAGACATCTGCTAAATGAGAAAAAAGAAAAAAAAAGATTAACTCTGGAATAATTTTGAGAATGAAAGTTAATCTGAATTTTGAAATAAAAAAGTCATTGCCCACTGTCTGAAAATCTAGGCAATAAATCTAAATTTACTGTATATGCAATCCGAATTGCTTTTCACTCTAGTCCTTGTAAATTAAGAATTTCACCAAATCAGGTGCAGTATCTTCTTCATTAACAGTTTAAATAATGAACAAACATCAACGGGCAACAGTAACTGCATTTTTCCAAACAAGAGCCATATTTACAGAGCTTCCTGCCTAGTGTATGATTATAAGCAGTTGGGAATGCAGACATAGTAAAATAAGAAGCATTTTTCCTAGTCATCTTCTACCATGTCAGCTTTCATGCTATCACAAGCTGTGCCCAATAAAACAATATGGTGTTTTTTCATCAAGATATATGAACATTAGATTGTATATAATTTAAATAAGTTAATACAAATATATTTAATTATTTTATGTAGAACTATATACAGTAGTTGTGCATTTAACCACAGATAACATCATCCCAGCTTAAACATTTGCTGATTATTTTTATTCATCTTTTTCATTCCTCCAAAATATTTGGAAAGAAACTCGTGCCAGCCATTATAGCAACAGCAATAGCACTTAGACTTATATACTGCTTTATAGTGCTTTACAGCCCTCTCTAAGCGGTTTACAGAGTCAGCATATTGCCCCCAACAATCTGGGTCCTCATTTTACCCACCTTGGAAGGATGGAAGGCTGAGTCAACCCTGAGCCTGGTGGGATTTGAACTGCCAAATTGTAGGCAGCTGGCTGCAGCAGAAGTAGCTTGCAGTACTTCACTCTAACCACTGTGCCACAGAGGCTCCATAATTATGCTTATATATCCAAATTATGCTTGCAATAAAATAAATTAATAAAATATTGTAATCCATATTTTAATGGAATTTCTGAAACTATTTTCATAAATGTCAGTCAATGAAAACTATATATATACATATACATATACATATACATATACATATACATATACATATACATATATATATATATGAATGATAAGAAGCCATTTAAAACATGTTTCTAAGTACTATAGAGCTTTAATTTAGTCATCTTATGTCAAGGATGGACTAACAGAATCTCAGGCAGCTCTGTTTTATGGTTCTTCAAGTTGTATGAGACTGCAATTGTATGAGACTGCAAGTGCTGGTTTTTAAGATAGGAAACATGAGAAAAACAGAAAATTCTATTGTGGCATATCACAGATGAATGTTAGATATTAATAATATTTTGGAAGAGGAGGGAAAAAGTTTCATGTATAATGCAAAAGTGGTCATTTTTATGCACCAGGGTGAAAAGCAATTTGAAGGATTTGTAGGCATTTGTTTTAAAGATTTTTTTAAAATTAAGATAATTATTTCACCTGTACAATAGGTTCATTAAACCAAAGTCGAATCAGAGTTGCTAGGGTATAATATAAGAGTAGCAGCAAGATAGGGTTGGTACGGTGGTACCAATTCAAATTTTGGTTGGTTATGAGTTTCCAGGTGCTTGAACAGTTGGTCTGAACAAGTGGAGTGATACCAAACAACCTGTAAAAATAGGGCATTACATAAACATAACATTTCATCCAAGCCATCCTTCTACAATCTTGCTTTTCATGTAGGCTTCAACTTCCATAATTCCCAACAATCTTAATAAACTGTATTCATGGTTTTCAGCATAGAAAACTGAAAGTTGCTACAAAATTCACAGATTGTTTAAGTTTGTTTCCACAATATTAAGATTAATAAAAGTTATGCCACAGATTATTGATTCTATTTTCAAAATCTTCATAAGTATTAAGAACAGGAGTGGGATTCAAATTTCTTAACCGGTTTTGTGGGTGTAGCCTCATTTGTGGGTGTGGCTTTGTGGTCATGTGGCTGTGTGGGCGTGGCTTAATGACTGGGCATGGCTTGGTGGTCATGTGACTGGGTGGGCATGGCTTGTATGTAAATATTATAAATATTGATGTAAATATTGATTTTTTTTTATAAAAAAAGAGCAACTCTTACCCAAAAACAGGCAAAGCAGGCAGGCAGATTGAGTTGGTCACAGAATCACAGATTCACTTAGAGATCTATCTATCTGCAATCAGCTACCTGAGTCTGCACTGAAAAGCTTCAGTCCTAAGGCAGTTTCGGTTCTGCTTGTAGATTAGCTAGAAAGCAAGAAATCCTAGGATTTCCTGCTTTCTAGCTAATCTAAATCTCAGCTGATGGTCAGGGGAAAAAAAGGAAAAATAGCAACTTACCAAACCAGGCAAGTTGGATGACTCGCATGCCAGGTAAGGAGTGAGGGGGGGAGGGGAGGGGCCAGCCAGTGGAGCGATTTTCCGGTTCTCCAAATTGGGGCAATTGTGTGTGCAGCGTTTGCAAGAAATTATCAGCTGTGCCACCTGGACAGCTGACAAGCGCTGCGCTCGGGTGCACAGCATTTGAAAATCCTCGTTTCCTGCTTTTTCAACCTCAGCTGTGCTGCGCAAAGCAGCTGAGGAAGGAAAAGCAAGGAATAAAGGACAGCCTAGAGCCCGGGCAGGCGGGTGGGCCAAACACTGAACCAGTTCAGTGTCAGCTGCTCTTTTGTAGCTACAGGTTTTGTATAACCGGGCCGAACCGGTAGCATCCCACCCCTGATTAAGAAGCATCACAGCAAAATTAAGAGTAGAATTAAGCGGTGATGTTTTCCTGTGCATGAAAGCCAAGCAGAAAATAAATATTTTAACAATTTGATAAAAACTGTAGAAAGAGTTAACACTAAGCGGTTTGACCTAATTGCTATAACCATGGCCTGATCTGCCTTCTCACTCACATTGATGCTGAAACATATTGAAAGTCTCTAAAGCAGATTTTTTGATAACTTCGAAGTTACTCCTTGCTTCTGAAGTGTAGAATTATGTCAGTCAAAAACATTTATTCATTTATTAAATGTATATGCCACCAATCTAAATGTCAATGACTCTGGGTAGCTGACATCCTCATAAAACAGAGATAGAAACATTAAAACATTAAACACTTTAATCTAGCAAACGCTTTTTTATAAGAAATAGGGGACAAATAAAGGCTATCATATACTGATGGATTTCTGAAGCCTGCAGAAACAAGATGGAAATTTCTATAGAAAATGGGGATTTGCAGAATCTGATTAGAATAAGTGCCTGAGCAAACACTGTATACTGGTTGGATGCATAATTCTTGGTATTTTAATTGCTGCATGCCATAGCTTGCGCATCCTGAGCAGGTGATCCTCTAGATTAGAACTTCTAGATTACTCTCACGCTCACTACAACCAAGCTACCATAAGTCTCCAACTTTGCACCTATACATTTGATTATTCCTATCAACATGCATAAAATAGCAAGATAACAATATTAAGTCCAATGCAATTTTGACCTGCATTAACATACAGATATGTATGTACCTCTTGTACCGTATGATGGTTGGACCATGTTTCAAGTATTGTGTCCAGTTCTGCGACTTCCGGGTTGAGCCCTCCTCACTGATGGACCATAGATGACTGTCCATGGCTATGGTCCGTGCTCTTTCATTGGAGAGCCCCGATCATTGCGATTAGGGGCTGAAGCTGCCTTGGAGGGGTGGTGGAGTAAGGGGAAGCTGCAAGCCAGGTTGAGGGGAGCCGCATCTCCCCTCCTGGGCTTTGTCTCCCCCCCCCCGAAGACGACTGCAGCGGTGGTTTAAAATGGCCACCCCGAAGAGGAGGACTCAGCTGGATTAAGATTTGTGCAGGAGGGAAGAAAGAGGTGGATAACATCTGAACCGGGACAATTGGGCGATGCAACTAAACAAAAGTACCCCGGGAAAAGGTGAGGACTTTGTATAACGGAGAGTGCCATCTTCTGACAAAAACCTGAGCTCAAACAAAAGGGAAAGCATCCTGTTTCTGTATGAATTTGGGTTGATATAATGTTAAAGAAATATTGAAACAAAGTAAGAATCTTAGAAAGTGAAAGCTGAACCAGAATAAAGAAAGAAGCAAGGAAAGGCTGATTGTGGGATTGATTGACGTTTTTGGTATAGACCCTGGGCTGGAACAACTGAGAACTTTAGATAACTGAAAGAAGAAAGAAGGAAAGTAAAAGTGGTTTTTGTGGACTTCAACGATTATAAAAATATAAGAGTGTGTAATGATGATATCTCTTCGCGAATTAAAAATGGAACTTAAAAATATGAGAGAACTACTACAGGAAAGAGGCGAATCACTTTGTTCTGTGTTAGAAGAAATGGAAATGGCGATTGAAGAACAAGAAGAAAGAACTTTAGAGGAGGAGGAGTCAATTCAAGGAGAAGCCATCTTAAATAGACAATTAACACAAAGGACACTACAAAGATGAGGGGAAAGAAGGAAGGCTAAAAAGTTGAGATTTAAGAAGGTAATCAAAAAGGGGAATACCTGTGAAATCAGGAGAGGCAGAAATATCCAGCAGAAAAGGGGAAAGGAAGATATCAAGAAAGAGAGGGATATAAACCGGAATGAGAAAAGATATGAGAAAAAGAGGGGGAGGAGAGGCAGTAAGAAACAGGTGCATGAAATAAAGAACTACGGAAATAGTAAAATGATGAAAAGAAATCGTTTTTTCAGAGATAATGGTTGATGAATTAAAAAGGGGATTTTGCAGAGTGACAAGGGGTAACAAGAATATATTTGCAATTAAAAAAATACTTAGAAAATAGGGTAATATAGATTATTAAAGGAGGGATGGATTTTATTCTCAAAAGAAAAGTTAAGGTTTATTGAAGAAATTGTAATAATTGAAATGGATGTGAAGATGTTTAAAAATGAGGTTAATATCAGTGACCAGAAATTGAATAGTCAATTTTTTTCCGTTTTACTTTTTTTGAAATTAGAAATAAAATTAAGGGGGGAGGAAATATGTTGCAGAATCCAAATGAAAAGATGTAATGTTTACTATTGTAACTACTTAAAAATAATGGTTTATCGGGAATTAAGATGAGGAAATAAAGGTATATTTTAACCACTGAGGTGTCACACTCAAAGCAGTAAAAGGGAGGAAACCTATACTTGTTTCTTTTTCTTTTGTGTTAAAACTTGTATTAATCTAGAATCTATAGAAAGAATGTGTGATGGAAAGAAAAAGAAATGGAAAGATGGAAAGAAAATATGACAGATTAAAGAACTACTTAAATTAATAAACTAATACAGACTATTAAAAGGAAGGAGAGACATTGGTAACTTTGTTTTTATTAGGCAAACATATATTGTTATTTTTATTTTTAAAATAAATATTAAAGGATTATATTTGAAATAATTGAAATGAAACGAAAAGAAGTTTGGATTAAGATTAATGTAAGAGACTAGGATTAATTTGCTTGTTTCTCTCCTTTCTGAAAGTTTGAAATGGAAAAGGTAATAATAGAATTAAGTATGTATATATGAATATATAATTATTGTCACATTTGTAGGTAAAAGTGATGACCCGGAAATATGTTGTCCAACAAAAAAGAGCTTTTTGTTTTTATGTGAAAAATTGAATAAAATTTGTTTAAAAAAAAAAGTATTGTGTCCAGTTCTGGAACAGATTCAGAGGAGAATTACTAGGATTATAATCAATGGTGGGATTCAATTTTTTTCTTACTACCGGTTCTGTGGATGTGGCTTGGTGGGAGTGGCATGGAAAGGATACTGTAAAATCTCCAGTCAGAGGTGGTATTTGCTGGTTCTCTGAACTACTCAAAATTTCCGCTACCAGTTCTCTAGAACTGGTCAGAACCTGCTGAATACCACCTCCGATTATAACGCACTGGAAACAAGCGTCATGAGAATGGTAGAAGAATCTGGGCATATTTTCTTTGCAAAAAAGACAGGGGAGATAAGACAGCAATTTACAAACATCTGAAAGGTTAACATGGAAAAGGAACCAGACCTGTTCTTTGTTAAAACTGAGTGCATGACTAACAGATTGACATTAAAAAGAAGACCCAGTTTAAATATTAGAATGAATTTCCGGATAGTAAGAATTGTTTAACAAGGGCAGAATCTATCAAGAAAAATCTGGAGCTTTTCACATAAAGGCTGAATGGCCACCTGTTGCGGACAGTTTTCAACAAGATAGGATTGACTAGGATGGCCTCTAAGGTCATGCAATTTATGTTCTATGTTTCTAGGAATTATATATAGGTCTTTCATTCCTTATTTTTATGAGAAATCTTAAGGAGTTTTATTTGAATCTACATTCATAAAACATCCTGCTTTTACCTTTTTCCTTTAAATATGTTGACTTTTAAACTGATTATTTTTTATTATGTCTTTGAAAAATTGCTTTGTATATCGTACTGTAAAAATTTGAAAGAAATGTGTAAATCTTTTAAATCAAATTAATGTCCATAAAAAGAGAAAAGGAGATAAGAATTTAAATTTTCTAATGACGATTTTGATGAAGTATATTTCATTAAAATGGGCAACTTAGAAAAGAACATTAACACAATTATGGATGCAAAAAAGAATGCTATGACTTTTTAAAATAACAAACAATATACTGTAAAAGTAAACGTAGCAGATGGCTGTAACATTATTCCTCTGTTAATGTATTTTCCCAGCAAAAGCTTAGTAAACTAATGTAAGGATATCTCTATGTATATGCACTTTGATCTTCTTTTCCTGACACATTTGCAACCTGTGACCTTAATACAAATGCAAGATACTGATGCAGCATTAAGGTTTGTGATGATGTCAAGGGAGAAATATTGCAGCTTTCCAAAAACAGGAAAACAACACTTATTCTTGTTCCAAAATGCAGAATAGTTGATTTTTTTAAAAAAAATTATACACACACACATACGGGCGCACGCGGGCGCGCGCACACACACACACAAAAGGATTTATTTCCTACACTTCCTTGACACACTTATCTTCCTAACATTTTTCCTCCCTGATACCTGGATGCTAATGAGTATCTATCTCACCGCTTAGCCAAGAAAGGGAAATTAAACACAGCATATCCCTCTCTTGTGGCGGGTTCAGTGCAGCTAAATTGAATTTAATAATTTTGACAATTTCTAGGTACTGATGAGTGCCTCATAACAATTAATTTCTCTTTTGTGATTGAAATATTGCTATACCTCTTCTATTTTTCTCTCTCCCTCCCTTTTTTCTCTCTCTCTCCCACACAGACACAGACAAACATGCACACAAATAAAAGATATAGAGTGGATTGTGTATACTCGAACAAGATACAAGAGGCCTAGCAATATTATTTTTGTGCCAAACTACTGGTCTATTTTAAATTTAGTGTTTAGAATCATAAACTGCATTATAATTTTAAAAAATACAGTAATGCATCCTATGCTAAAATATTTGAAAATATTACCTGAAAAAGCAGAAAATTAGCAACAATGAGAATTTCCTGCTTCCTAGCTTCAGCATAAATTCTGCAAGTTTAAAGCATATAATTTTGCACTTTCGAATAATGAAATATAAATGACTGTTTAAGGATTTCCATTTATTTTTTCTACTCTGGCCTGGCCTGACCTGACCTAGTCTGGCCTGTAGATGGCAGAAGAAAGCTTGCATTTTCACACACATTCAGTCATAGAGCAAAGCAGGTAGCACTGCTATGCAGACTACAATAGCAATAATTAGTTTAAATTTGTGTCTCTTAGAAGCTCAACCTGTAACAGATTTATATCTTGTTACTCCAATACAGGAACAACACAGTAACAGGTATTAAGGCTCTCTCTTTTCCCACAAGTTCAATAGGAAAGTTTTAGGCAATCTGAACAGAAACCACATTTTTCCCTAAAACAAATCTTTATATAACAATACATTTAGAAGATTGCTTTCTATCTATATATATAAAATCAAGGAAATTAATTAGCAAAGTAAACAAGAATGTTATCCATCTACTTTTTCTGGACTTACTGGGAGATAGAAATCTTGTATTCCAATAGACATCTATCTTGTCAACTTCCTAACCTTCAGCTTGCAAGGGTCTAGCAAAGCCTTCTCTGTTGTGGCCTCTGCCTTCTGAGAACATTCTGTTGTGAGAGGTGAGATCTGCCTCCATCTTTCTGGCCTTCGGGAAGGGTCTTAAAATATGGCTATGCCATTTGGCATAGGGCCCTGATGGGGATGTACTATAGTGGTTGGTTGAGTGAAAGATAAAAGCCTATGCCCACATTATCTCGTTGCTTGGTTTTTAGCTTTTACTTAATCCTTGTTAATTGCAATGTTTTTATATTTATGTTTTAAAGGCATTGTAAGTTGCCCAAAGTCACTATGGGTAGTGACGTAGGTGGCATATAAATTAAATAAATAAATAAATAGAATTCTTTAAAAATGTATTGATTGTACACTATGACATGTATTTTACATTTCTCTGAATATATTCCATCTTTATCTTTTACCATCTATTCCAATAGCCAACAGTTCTATTTTGCTATAATTCCATTTATTTAAAAAACAAAATTCTGATAAAACTTCTTACCGGGCATAATAGTCACCAGGTGGAATGATTTCCTGAAAAAATTGTAATTGGTACAGATAAAGTGCAATTAAATGGCCTCCACTGAATATTGTCATTAACACACAAAGGCAGCTGAAGATCAGAGGATCAAATGCTCGACAACAGGACCACCATGTGCACAAGCCCAAGAATAAAAAGAAATATACAGCTGAAGTCAGGGAAGGCAACATCATTCCTATAAAAATTAATGAAAGGTAAATGCTCTATACTCATTATATATGGATTAAGCATGATGTTTAAAAGCATTGCAATAGAAATTATTAATCACAATAGCATTTTAATATTCTGTATTGCACAAAGCTGAATTTATTTATGGACCAATTTGAGAGGCTTGAAATAATTCTCAACACATAAAATACTATCAAAATATACTTTGAGAAAGAAGCATCAGGAAATGTACTTTAAAAAACAGTATATTCTAGAGTGCATATTTAGATGCAAAACTTATCCTTTTTTTAAAGAACGTATCAATACTGTATATAACTGAAAGTGATACATTTATATATATTTGTCATTCGAAAATAACACAAAGCAGAAATAAATGTATTCATCAACAAATTTGATAATTATTTGAACCAGTGTAATACAGCTATTCATTTCTTATGATAAAACAGTTACCTGTTTATGTATCCTGCCATTTATAGGCTGGATGCCTGATGAGGACTAGTTTTCATAACACATTTTAGGGATAATAAATGTATGCAAAAGCAATGAAATTTTACATAAATGAGGTCATTATATATTTATTTATCAAAAGTCTATTTGTGTGCTAAAAGTATTAAAGACAATCATAACTGTAACCATTATTGAGGAATTTAGCAAAGGAAGAGAGCCCACCTGTTGTACCAAGTAAAATTGTAACAACAACTTTTCCAGCTGTGATTATAAGGTTACCAATAATTTCCTTCACTTTGGAAGCTATGGAGGCAATTCTGCGGAGTATTTTTAATTTTGTGGTTTCTTCCTCTTCACATTCTTCATCATCTAGATCTTCACATATTAATGCCTCTTCAGCCTCTATTCTCTCAATTTCATTCTACAAATAGAAAATTGAAAAAATATATAATGAATCTACTTAATACAAATCACCAAAAATACAGAGATTGATTATGAGTCCAAAAGTGTTTCCTAAATTAATGCTAACTATTCTATATTTCTTTGTAGATAAACAGTTTATTCTTACTTTTTTTTCTATATGTTGCCTAAACAATTACTGTCTAAGTATGTCTCCTGATTCTATCCTGTAATTGGATATTCCCATAATCTTGGTTATTTGATCATCTGTTGTTCCAATAATTGTAAACACTTCCTAACTTTTTCCCCTATCCATGACATTCTCTTCTCCCTAATCATCTCAATCCAATAACTTTCCCTATAAAATCTTCTCTACTGTTATTTCCATTGCTTATCCACATTGCTCACCCACAAGAGATGGGAGCAAAGTCTAATCAATATAGTTTTGTCCACACAGTCTTTTATTGTTGCTGCCCCTATGGAATGGAAGATGGCTTGCTTTTATTGCAACACTTTGTGAATTTCCAGCTGTTGTTTCTTCAACTCAATGTTATCTACTAGTGGGAACCCCAAGCACAACCATTGTCCTGAAAGTGTGGTAGGGAGGGGTTCAGAGTTTTAATATTCTCTTCCTCTACATCATTTTGCAGGTGGTTTATTTCAGTGCTATCGGGACCCATATAATTGGCCCAGTTCTGTAGCTCTCTGTCAAATGTAAAAAGGAACTGCTTATTTCCTTTTCCGCTTCTCTTCTTTCTGAAGCAGTTCTCTTCCAAAACTGTTTCCCTTCAAGCTATTGTTCCTCTTGTAAAGAGGGGAAACACACACATACACACACAGACTCACATGGCATTTTAAATAGAACTTTACCTGTTTATTCAGGAGTGATTAATTACTCCAGGCAATACCTGGTCCTTTATCCATCATACCACTTATGCTCTAGAGTCTCGAAGGTCACTTGTAATATTTCCCAGTTTATTAGGCTTTTTGTTTGTCATTTGTATTTCTATAACTTTCTGGTTTGGCACAGCAATCAAACAGGACAGGTACAGACGTCAACAGATAGTTAGGACTGCAGAAAAAACAATTGCAACCCAGCCTGTCTTCCATTGAGGACCTGTATACTGCATGAGCCAGAAAAAGGGCTGAGAAAATATCTACAGACCCCTCACATCCTGGACATAAACTCCTTCCCTCAGGATGCCACTGTATGCCACTGCATACCAAAACAACTAAACACAAAGACAGTTTTTTCCCTCATGCCATCACTCCGCTGAACACCTAATTCCCACAGCATTGTCTTATGCCTATTGCCTAAGGACATTTGCATCCCGTAGTAGGGCTATATTGCTATTATCTTTCTCATATTTCCTATTACCTTCTCCCATTGATATCTTACAAAATTGGCACATATATCATATGATTTATGACTGTATCTTATGATTTATATTTTATGGTTTATCACTATGTGGTTTGTATGTACTCTTGAGAGCTTGCATGCCGGAGACAAATTCCTTGTGTGTCCAATCACACTTGGCCAATAAAGAATATTTTATATTCTATTCAAGCATTCAGCATTTGACAATTTATCATCTGTTTGAATTTTTTTTCACTGCACATTATGATACAAAGTGTATATTGAGCAACTTATTCGAAGAACTGTATCTTTTGTAGTTACCTGGCAAGATCCCCCAAAATTTCTCAATGTTCATGCTATATAACACATAACAAACAAGTCAGGGAAAAATTTAAAGGTGCTGATATCGGGCACCCTTTAAGAAATGACTATTTGAAAAGAAATCTCACTGAGCAACTTGGGTCATGGAAAAGGTTTTGTTTTGTTTTTACTTATAAAAAGCTTATTATAAATGTAAACAACTTTGTGGAAATTTATTCAATCCTATAAACACATTTCAAGTATTTGCTGAGTAATAACAATACAGAACCCGGGGCATGTGATAATTATCTAATTTGATCCACATCTATTCAGAAGTCCAAAGGCTTTACGACTGTATTGGGCTTTTTTCCCCCTAGGCTCATTTAGGTTAAGACTCAAAGCCTATCACTCAACATAATTTTTTAAAAACTGTCAAATTCAGATAAAGTCCAGGCCGGAAATGCGCAGCTACCACAGCAGCTGTGACTGCTACTGCTATATTTTGAGCCAGAATGTCCATTAGTTACATTTTAGTATGATTTATTAACATCCAGCTTTTAAATGTTTCCTCTGTGAGACACCACACACACACACACGCACACACAAATGCACCATTGTGCTAAAATAATATTGTACTGTAGATCTTATTGACACATACACCAACAGGGGGTCCCCAGTCAGAATCAAAATCCATTCTTGTAATTTGTAAGGTATTATAAATTGTTCATGTACAAACATATTCCAAAATAATGGCTGGAACTTATAACAGTCTTCTGTTATAGTGTATTGTAATTATTAACCGTTCTTGTTTTTATTGCTTAAATGCTTTAAAAATTTTGTTCTGAATTAATAACACTTACATAAATAATAATTAGAGTATCATATGTTATATTAATGTCACAATACTGGTAAGCTTCTATACAATGTCTTTGTGAGGATGCAAGACAAATTCTCTGCTTTAAAAAATCTAAATGAATTTCTTTCCAGGAAGAATATGAACTGAATCTTTAAAAGCTCTTATTTATAATAATTCAGACATTAGGTGATTTTTTTAAAAAAAATCCTATGTAATTATAAAAGAATTAATTTATTGTATAAACTTGCTATTTACCTAACAAGAATGCACAAAATCTGTGAACACAGCTCTGTACAAATCCAGACTGACAGGTTGTTTCACTAAAAATTTAATATATTGATGGGTGGTTTTTTTTTCATAAATGAAATTTAATGAGATGTTGGTCTAGGGCAGGGCTGTCAAATTCCTGGCCCGCGGGCTGGTTGCGTGACGTGCTGGCCACCCCCGCAACCGGTTTAGCGAAGGGGGAAAAAGTCCCAATATGTCACATGATGACACCGTGACGACATGAGATTGACACCCCTGGTCTAGGGCCAATACAAATGCACCCTCAGTCTTGAGAGTTTGATGAGTGATTTTGGATCACCAAGTCTTTTCAGTCCAACTCCTGAATAGAATTCTGCAGTGCAGCAATGACTGATATTCAGGCACCACAATGATATTCTGTGGTGACATTTTTCAACACTTTACCAATTCTGGATAGTTACATCAATTTCTTACATAGCTAGGAGGTTAACTGAAAATATTTGAAAAGCATGGAAAATATGTTATATGGGCACTTATTAATTAGGAATTTAAGCTGAGTGTCTCATCTTGGGAATTTGGAAGTTTCTCTCTTCCCATGTGAGTTTTGAGCAAAGCACATTATTCATGCTCCCACTCTATGGAATAACCTACCCCAAATATATGGATGACATTTAGGAAGGTAGCCATAATGGAGCTGTTTAGAATGAATAATGTAATAAAGTAGAATGGCCAATTTTGTTTTTCGCAGGTTTTATGTTATTTGAGGACCCAGATTGTTGGGGGCAATATGCTAACTCTGTAAACTGCTTAGAGAGGGCTGTAAAGCACTATACAGCGGTATATAAGTCTAAGTGCTATTGCTATTGCTATTTTGTTCATTGGTACACCAGGATAGCTTAGATCTGCACCGCTTTTAGATATGTTGTGTGTATGCTTGAAAACAGCTGAAAGTCCATGTCGAGTCAGCAATAAATAATGAATATGTCATTCATTGTTCAACGGTTCTTTTTTAACGTTCAGAATTGTCAGTTGATGGGTTGTTGTTTTTTACAGAATTAGATGGGCATTGCCCTTAGGGTGCACGGATACAGAGAAGTGATTATCAACTTTTCCCTGAAAAAGGATCTTTGTCTCTGTAAATATCTCCCAGAGAAGCCTGACACAAGTGCTGGAGTGTTTTACTTCCCCTCGGATTGTGCTCTGAAATAATACAGAAAGAAAATGACTATGATGTTATGAAACCGCTTGAAGACACCTACTATCTCCAGCTCTTTTTGCAGATTCTCACCTGCCTCCCCAAATTTAGCAGCAGTGTTGTAAATCACAAATGAAGGAAGAGTCTCCCAAATAGTATTGCATTAGCAGCCTTTAATGCATGTTCATTTCAGAACCCAAAATCAATTAAGGCCAACCATAGGATGCAGGGCATACATTAATGCCAAACCAAAATGCAATATTTATCAGTTCCACATCCTTACCTAGTGGAACAGTTTCTGAAGGGCAAACTGAAACAAAACACTCCTTTGTGATTATTTAGCAAGCTTTTTAGAAATAAGGAAATTCCATTATGGAAATAATTCAGCATTTGATCTGAGTCGGTTTTTCCTACAATATTGTATAAGGCTATTCTACTAAGACACCTGTACTAGTCAGATAATTGAATAGTTTTGTGCTCAGAAAAGAACATGTCTATACATGTTCATCATTTGCTCTGTAACAGACAGCAGAAGCAAATGGATGAAAAGTATGAAGGCTTTATTCCCTGTACATATGTTATTTCATTACTGCTGTCTACTTCATCTCTTAGGCAAATTGCATCCCGGAGGGAAAAGGGATGGTGATGGTAAAATACTTTAAAATATAGTATGAGTACATTGTAAAAGGCACTAAAGATCTCCTCTCTGGCCTTGCTTTGCTCATGAAATTTGCTTCTCATCTATTGTCCCCTTTTTGGGGATCCCAGAATCTGGGGCATGAAATAAAACTTAACTGAATAAGCAAATAAACACATCAGGAAAATAAGGAAAAGCTTTTTACAAGAAATAATTTACATATTTACTTTTTTAATTGAAGAAACATTAATATCTGACAATATAAATAGGCCATTTTAAACTGAAAGTATGCCAGATTATTGGATTGGTATTTTTAATGTTTCTGAAACCCATGTGAGTAAAAGAATATATATCTGGGAAATCTTAATGTTTTTATAGTTTTCCCATGCATTTCTTTATAGAAACAATTCAACTGAATTCTGAGTTTCTATGTAAATACATGTACGACTATAGTATGAATTTCTGTGAAGACAATGGATAAACTACTCTGCATAATTTTATAGTCTACCTTTACCAGGTTCTAAAATTAAGGTTTCTAGTATAAGAGATCTGCATGTCATAGGATATGTCTCAGGAACATCTGTCTCAACAACACTATTATAACTGACCTGTATAGATGATAAGACCAAATTTCAAGTTAACAGATTGTTTGGAAATTCTGAAAACGTGGAGATTCTGCAAATACAAATAGTCCTTGCTTACTGACAGGCTCTCATGCTAAAGTTATGATAGTATTTTTAAAAAAACAGCTTTACAAGCAGTCCTGACATCTATGACTGTCACAGTGTCCTGAAGTCACATAATCCCCATTTGAATGCTTCGTAACTAGTGTAAATTGATGACCATCACAGTGTCCAACTGTCATATGGTCACTATTTGCATGCTTCCCAAATGGCTTGCAAAAAGCAGCGTTAACAGAGAATGGGGCCATGGCTTCCTTCTTGGGGCTGAGAGAACAAGAGTGAATGGCCCCAGGTCACCCTTCTGGCTTTGTATCCAAGGCAGGACTGGAACTCAGTTTCCTGGTTTCTAACCTGATGCTTTAATCACTACACAAACTGGTCCATTTGACATTATATGCTTGCATCAAATGTTATAATGTGACTTACATAAAATATATAATTATACCATTTGCACAATAATAGGTTGACTGCATTGCGATTTTTTTTTTTATATATAACTGTGTAACAGACGCCTATGATTTACATTTCTAAATAGGATAGGATGTTCTGTTTTTAAAGGAATTTCCGTTGAGAAATGCTAAAGAGATAGTAAAAAATGAAACCCGCAGCAAAACCTATTCCCACTCTTATGGGAAAGTACACAAGTGGGAGTTGTAATACTTCAATTAGTATAAAATTAATAATAAAGCATTTCCCCTTCAGCTGGAAAAGAAAATTGCAAAGCCCATCCATAATATCAGGCACACTAGGAAAATAAAAATAAAAATTAAAGAGTAATTATACATACCATGTCTTCATTTTCAAACTGTTCATTGTATTCTCCCAAATTTTCTTGTTCTGCCTTTTGAACAATGTTTCTGCACACAAGCCATGTGACCAGGCTAGCAATAAACATGAGAATATCAGGAACAAAAATCCGGATCCCATTGCCAGCATCTGCCCCTTTGACACTGTATGAAAATGAAGAAGAGAAAGAAAATTGGTTCTTATTTGACAACAACTAAAGGAAAAATACTTTGTATTTTTCAGCTATATCTTGGATTTCATTGTTTTTTTTAAGACCATAAGTATGGCTGAAGACTAAACTTCTGGATGAAGGGATGGCAGACCACATCATCACCGAAGAAATGGAGATGCACTGTGATGAAGATTGATGGATCAATGATAAGCCTGATCCAACAAAGAATTCCTATATAAAGAGAGGATGAGAGAATTTCCATCTGGGTTCTGGACAGATGCTCCTCACAAGAAGACTGTAGAAAAGTGGTTAACTCATGAATTGGAGCACCAGTTGAGGAGGGAACAATCAAATTTATAGCTACAGTGGAACCCATATCAATACTAGGTTTGTCAAACCTCACTTTCTGTAATCCCTTAAAAATATAATTATTTTAAAGCTAACAGAGAACAACTGATCTTAATTAATTATGACACTAATTTAATAATTTAAGTTGGACTATCTTACATTTCATTTATCAGAATATGGATATGCAATAGGTCTATATATATATATATTCATACTAATATTAATGCTAATAATAATAACAAGCCTTAAGTACAAATGCATGCAAAGTCAGATAAGACAGATAGCAAGTGCCGCCTCTGCAAAGAAGCTGAAGAAACACTGGACCACCTGTTTAGCTGTTTCAAAAAGATTGCACAGACTGACTACAAACAATCGTATGATAAAGTAGCAACAACGGTGCATTGGAAAATCTGCAAACAAATACCATTTGCTGCAAGCAAGAACTTGCAGAGAAAGTCATAGAAAATGAAGAAGTTAAAGTATTCTGGGATTTTAGATTTCAAATAGGCAGGCATTTGCTGCATAACATACCAGACTTAATAATTATCAATAAAAAAGACAACAAAAAAATCTGGATAGTGGATGTGGCAGTACCTGGAGAAAGCAGGATAGAAGAGAATGAAGATTAACAAAATACAAAGACCTGCAAATAGAAATAGAATGATGTGGCAAAAGAAAATAACAGTAGTACCAATAGTAATAGGCACCCTGGGTACAATCCCAAAATAACTAGAGCAGCGGCCCCCAACCTTTGCAGCTTGGCGGCCTGGCTAGGGGAGGGAGAGGGAAACTGGGCTATGTGAGTGGCAGGTCAGCACACACACAAGTGCGCATTCAACTCTTGCATGAGTGTTGGGCCGGTGTGCATGCATCCAGCTTGTGCATACATGCGAGTACCCACCGGCCCACCGCTTGTGCAAGTTGAACTGTGCATGCACGCTCTGGCCAGCACTCGTCCAGCCCAATTCTGAATAGGCCATAGCCTGAGAGTAGGTTGCAGCCCGGGGATGGGGGACCCCAGAACTAGAGCATCATTTGAACACCATAGGCACTGACAAAAATTCATGATCAGTCAATTTCAAAAGGCATCTTTAGTCAGAACAGCTTATTGTTCTGACCTAGGCTTCACAACATCACGAAACAGACTCCTTGCCCTGACAAAATCCCTTTTTATTTGGCTAATGTGAATTCCTATCATTTGTCAGTGTTCCAGATATTGTCCTAATTAAATCATGAGCCTCAATCCAAGCTTCAAAAGAATCCAAAAGATGTATTAGGAGCAACATGTCAGCATTATCGCAGTTAAAGCCAACTCTGGCACACATGATTTATGGTCACCCATGACCCTGTTCCCCCCTCTCCCCCTGGATATGTCATCAATCAGATTCTCCAACAAAGCACATTCACGGGCTGGGTGTCATCAATCACATTCTCCAATGAAGGATTTTCAAAGGCAAAAGATCCAGTAGCCTAGCTACAATCTTTGTAAGATATGCGTGGAATGTACTTCTGGTTTTTTATCCCTCCCTGCTTATGGCAACTCGAAAACAGGCATAGGATCCAGCAAAGTCCCGGCAAACAGTCTTTCAAGGGTCAATTGTAATCACAGACCTTATCAGGCTTGGAGAATTGTCAGGCCAATAGCTTCCAAGTGCAACTGTCGGGCTCCGTTAGGGATGATAGATGATCTGAGCCCGTCAGCACCTTTGCAGGAGCCATATCATCAGAACCCTGCTGATGATAGATACTCCCAGGTAATTGCGACAGCTGCAGTATGGGAGAATCATAACGTGCCAGGGGCTCCTCAGTCATCCGTAACTTGAAAGGAAACCCCTGTCTGTATTTAATGGATTGTTGGACTTAATTTAACGATTCTGCCAAAGCTGAACTGAAAAAGCAACTGTGATGAAGGAACAGGCAATGAGGGGGAAGTTTAACTATTTATTTACTTGCGAGGAGATAGGAATCATGAGCAATGGATAGGTGATAGGGAAGGAAATAGTGGACTTATTAGGTAAACAGGATGATGGGAATAAGGGGTAATTAAGGGAATAATTAAGGGCGTGGATAGGAGATAGAAGCATTTAGGTGGTGTGTTTATACCTTTAAAGAACACTGTAAGGCAGAGGCTTCCAGTGGTAACCTAAACCGGTTGGGATTCCGTTCTTGTCGGATGGAAAATTTGTTTGACATTAAAAACCCTTGAAACCTGCTTCCTGCTCTGCATGGTGCTTTGTGGTTTGTGTGCAAATCTGCAAGTTTTCAAAGACCGGCTGAGAGAAACGCTGTACAAGGAAATACTTGGCAAGAAGTCTGTGAGTCACAAACTCAGATAAACAAATCTTCACACTCATTAAATGAACCAATTGTTTCCCCTTTCTCTCATATGTATTCCCTATGGGAGGGGCCATTCACCATCCACATGTGCCTTTACTCTCCAGTCAACCCTTGTTCCTTAACTGTTCCCTTTTCCTAACAGTCTACGCATGCGCATATCAGGAACAGGCTCCAGCTTTTCTTCTGCCCCACTGATCTCTGACTCCAAAGGCAGCTGATAACTGTTGGATGGCCCTGGCCCCATCTCTGCCTCCAATGCAGAGCATTCATCAGAGCCTTCCCCAGACTCCAGGACTGGCCCATGTTCCTCCCCAACCTCCTCACTGTCCAAGTCTGCCGCCAGCTCTGCTGGCCGCTGGTGGGCTATAACAACATTTCCAGGCTTCCTGAATGTCTCTTGCTGGGCTTCTGGCCTGATGCAGCAGACATTTTACAATATTATATCTTTTGATGCCAGCATTTGATTGTTTATAATTTTTGCTTTACTTGATGGTATGTATGGAAAGTCTAATTTTCAGCATCTAACCTACATTTTCCAGTATATGTCTGCATTTTTTCTTTATTAATTTGTTTTCAAATACAGTATGTTATTTATTCTTCTCAAGGAATGTAAGATAACCAACTGCCTCCACAACATTCCTTGTTAATTATCTGAAGAGAAAAACGATTTCTTCCTAGCAAAATAAATATAGTAGATTCCTGATATTTCAATATAGAAAATTTCATCAGCTGATGCAAAATGTAGAAAAATATCATCATAGGATAAGAGGCATAACATAAAAACCACTTGGCATAGACTTTAGCAAACATAAAAATTTCAAGTCTCTTGAAGAATATGTAAAGCCTTAATAATCACATATCTTATTTTTTTTGGCAGTAACACTGTACAGAAGAAAAAGCAGTTTGGCAAAGAGTTCACCAACATATCAATAACACATTTGCCAAATATTTGCTTTCCAAATAGCATCATGAAGAATGCTGCTATTTAATGACATGCCAAAGTTAGTAGGCTCATTACTGACATAAAGCATGCAACTTTTATGGGTCAATGCTGCAAATGAAAACCAAACTTGGGCCAAATATAAAAGTAGGCCCTCCCCTCCATGCTGTTTCTTACGCCTCATTTATTTTCTATACAAGCCAAATTATGTTTTCAATGAATTGCCCAGAATAAAAAAAATATGTGGACCTCATGCTGAGCATTGATAGATCTACAAGCAAAATCCAAAAAGACTTAGTATCTATCCTATTTTCGGTGGACCATCTCTAGCTATGTGCATAATTATGTGTTTATTTAATTTTAATATGTCAATAGAATGGCTGGAATAGTAAAAAAAAATCAGAAATAAAAACAAACCCTGTTGGATAACATTTGCATAAGACCATTAGCTCAGGAAAAAGATCAGAAAATATGAAGATGGAAAAGGTAGATGATAAAATAATATATAATAATATATCTAATTATTAAAGCACTGAATATTTTGGTGAACTCTCATATCAGAAACATTTTTCTTCTTTTTCCATTTCTTCTTTTCTCAACAAAAAGCACTATTTCTCATATGAGATTTGAAAACAGATATTGAAACAGAACTACTGATGGAAATGTCTTAAAAACATTTTCAAGACAAAGGGAGCAAAAAAAAAGCTTAAATTCCAAAGGAATGCCCTACCATTATTATTCTCTAAGAAGGTTTCCAAATGAGAGAGACAGCAGGTATGGCTAAGGCATAGAAGAGATCATTTAAAAGGGCAACTGTTTCAGCTAAAACAGCTCCTGATGCCACCCAGATACGTTAGAGTACAATTCTTATCATTCTCAGCCAACATGACTAATGTGTATATTAGAAAGAGAATGCAAATATATTTTGCCTTTATACATGCTAACTAAAGTCCGAGGCTTGCATGCAATGAACCACATAAAAATTATGGCAGATTAGATATTCCTATTTATTATGTATTATAAAACCTCACAGCTGAAAAAATATTATGGATATAGGATGTCATATAGAACTTGCATCATAGATTTCTATGGAATTTCATGGCAATTTTTAGAAAATAATTAAACGCTTAGATTCCTGTGTTGATTACATAAAAACAGTTCTACTTCTACATGTTTTTAAAGATAACTTTGGAAACTTGGCATCCTCGTGCATATCCTATCACTACTTTTATTAGCTGTAGACTGTTTTTTTGTATTGAAATATTTGAAAAGTATGAAAAGACAAAGGACAATTGAATTAAAATGCAAAATATGTACCTTAACTGTTGCGAACTCCATTGAACAAATAAAATTGTTCAGAAGTCAAT